AGCTACTCGGGAGACTGAATCAGGAGAAATCGCTTGAGCCTGGGAGGTGCAGGTTGTAGTGAGCCGAGATGGCGCCACTGCATTCCAGTCTGGGTGACAGAGTAAGACCCTGTCTCAAAAAAAGAAAAAGAAAAAAAAAGGACTAGAATAGAATATAAATCAACAATATTTCCTCCAGTGAAGGCTCCTTGGAGGAATGGCTGATTCCAGATCGGAGATAGGAACTATTCATGGTGAGTCATATTTTGTGCCGGAAAGTAAAGAAGTGACCAAAACCAGTGGCTCCTATCAAAAGGACACAGGAGTCAACATGAAAGACTTCCTGTGGCCAAAGATGAGAACATTTGAGCATCCATAAGAATAATGATGCAACTCATTGAAATGCATTGAATAGGCCAGGCGCAGTGGCTCACGCCTATAATTCCAGCAGTTTTGGAAGGCCAAGGTGTGCAGATCACTTGAGATCAGGAGTTCAAGACCAGTCTGGCCAACATGGCGAAACCCCATCTCTACTAAAAATATAAAAATTAGCCGGGCGTCGGGGCAGGCACCTGTAATCCCAGCTACTCAGGAGGCCGAGGCACGAGAATTGCTTGAACCTGGGAGATGGAGGTTTCAGTGAACCAAGATCATGGCACTGCACTCCAGCCTGGCCGACAGAGTGAGACTCAGTATCAAAACAAAAACAAACAAAAAATGCATTGTATATATCAAAATTTATAGGTTCATATTGATCCCATCCCCCGCTTCCCCACACACAAATTCTCATTGGGCCACCATTCAAAGTATTTAGTGAACAAATTCCCTGTTCTGAAATTGAAAGGAAAGAATTAGTATTCATTCATTCTGCCCTTCTTGTAAAAGATGTATTTCAGAGTAACAAGGCAGCACTAATTGATGAAAGAGAATTCTCCTTTACAAAATCATTTTAGCTAATAAATAGAGAAGATATTAATAGGATTAGAAAAAGATTATCGCTTTACAACCCCTAATGAAATTTTGATTCAGATAGTGATCAATAAATAAAATCATTAGATTAAAGATTGATGAGAACCCTTACAATAGCGAAATGAGGCTGTCATCACCTGAACCCACCCAAAGTAGGACAACTAGACATGATGTGATAGGAAGCACTGTGCCACCTGTGAATTGTTCCTGCCCCCACCCCCACTACAAACTAACCTTGACTGAAATCAAGCATTTAGCGTTAACTTCCATTCAGAGAAATGTGGGAGACAGAGGAACATGCTACAGAGCAAATGACACAGTGTCAGCAATAGATCAGCAGCACAAGGGGAAGGACGAGAACCCGCCATGGGTAAGAGGAGAATTAACAGACTTAACACAGATGTAGTGTGAGAACTTTGTTGGAATTCTGACTTAAGCCAACTTAAAAAAATTTTTTTGAGGCCAGGCACAGTGGCTCACACCTGTAACCCTAGCACTTTGGGAGGCCAAAGCAGGCAGATCACTTGAGCTCAGGAGTTCAAGACTAGCCTGGTCAACATGGCGAAACCCTGTCTCTACTAAAAACAGAAAAATTAGCTAGGTGTGGTGGCGCATGCCTGTAACCCCAGATACTCAGGAGGCTGAGACAGGAGAAGTGCTTGAACCCGGGAGGCAGTGAGCCAAGTTGCAGTAAGCCGAGGTCACGCCACTGCACTCCTGCCTGGGTGACAAAGTGAGACCCTGTCTCAAAAAAGTAAAAATAAAATAAAATGAAAAAATCATTTTTGAGACAATTGGGGAAATTATAGTGGCTATCAGGTAAGAAGAGTTGCTGCTGCCAGTAAATTGATGATGTGGAGGTTATGAAAGAAAGTGATCATATTTTTTGGAGGTGTATACTGAAGTATGTAGGAGTGAAATGACATGCAGACTGGTGTTTGCTTGAAAACACTCCCCCGAAGAAGAGAAGGATAGCTGAAGGAAACATGGCAAACTCTTGATGGTTGTTGGATCTGAGTGGTGAATAGATGGGTGTTCCAACCTCTCTAGAATATGTATGAAATTTTCACTAAGAATGTTTTCAGAAATCTCCTATCTTGCCTAAGGCAAAAACATAATTGTGGAGCAGCCTAAATATTCCTCTCTGCAATGAGTATTTATTAAGCAACTGTGTGCTAAGCAAGGAGAGACTGTGCCATGGCAAGATCTAAGCTTTGCCATCAGAAGCCTTGATTTGAGCCGATTCACTGTTGCCATCAGTTTGATCCTGGGCAAGTTGCTATTTCTCCTTGAACTTTCATTTCCCTGTCTGTATATGATCTGCTCCACAAACTGGTAGAGACAGTAATATCTCTTTGCTTTCTAAACTGCTCACTCAACTCCCACAGGCCTTACTAGCAAGAAGTCTAGCATCCCCTGTTGGAGGACCTTCCCCCTATCTTCTTCACTGTCTGGGAATCTGGGTCTCCTCAGTCCACAGGTAGGCAGGCCTGGCCCTGGTACCAGAAGTGCCCTCCCTCTCATGGCCACACAGTGTCAACTTTGGAGCTTTGTCCTGCCTAGCTACTCTGTCACGGGACAGCTTTGCTGATTCCCAGCATGGCCTTGGGTGAGGGGTGAGGGGATGGCTGGAACCCCAGAATTAAATCTCTCTTAGTTCACACTCTCTTTCTCTGCAATGACTTATAAAGGGACAGGACATCATGACTGATCCTCAGCCTCATAAATTGCAGGACAAGCCCTTTCTATCTGACAAAATACTAACCCCACTATGTGGCAGGTGCTGCCTTAGGGGCTTGAGATACATCCATGGGCAAAAAGGACCCCTACTCCCCTCAAGGAGCTGGGGAGTGGGGATCTGCCCCAAACCCGAGCCCAGGCCACCAGCAAAGTCTTCCCCTCTCCCCCTGGTGAGTATTGCTTTGGAAGGTAGGGGTGCTCTCAACCACACGGTGTGAACCTAACCTACTTCTCCCCAAGCATCACCAGTGAGCATGTTAGATGAGCGATGGGTGGTGGGGCCAGTGCAGGGGTGCTGAGTGTTACTAGGCTACACACACACACACACACAACCCCACATACCCTTTATGTAGTAAAGTAGGGCTTACTACTCTATCCTTGTATAACTTAGTGCAGACTGAGAAACCTTTATAACTGTCACCTCTTAAAATGAAGACTCTTACCCATCTTACAGAATCATTATGAGGATTAAATCAGATTTCTTCACTGGGCTGTGCTCATAAAGGTTGTGTTTTGCTCACTGCTCTACTTTTTTTTTTTTTCACTCTATCCTGTGAAATATATTCTCAGTCCCTAAAACAGTCCCTGAGGCATAGTAGTGTCCAGTATGTGCACACATACACACACACACACACACTCACATGCACACACAGTGATGGAATGAGCCTGCAAAGAGGGTCATCTCAGGAAACGTTAGCTCTGCAGATTCTCAGTCGGTCCAGGGTGGGTCTGAGACTGCATTTTCACTGGCTCCTGAGGGTGGCTCCTGTCCAGGAGGACACTGAAAGTGATGAGGCCGAGAGGTGCAAGTTGAGTGGCAGGAGAGTGGAACCATTAGGCACTTGGTGTCTGGAGTCTGTCAGATATGTCCCCACCATTCTTACCTTTGTGGCCTTGGGTGGGTTACATAACCCCAGTGAAATTGAATTTCCTCACCTCTAATATGGCAATAACCACTAGGACTGCCTGGTGAATAGTATTGACCCAATCAGCTTGATATTTTAGCTCTCTGTCCGGTAAAATAAAAACCCACACACTGACCACTTTTGTATTGCCTTCAGAATGCCATAGCCCTCTGAAGTAAAATCACTGGGTAGAAACAAAGATCCTTGCTTTAAGAGTTTTAACCTTCACATTTGCCCCGTATAGCTCTGATTTTGTTTTTTTGTTTTTTACTATTTTACAATAATATTTTCATGCTTTAGTTGGATAAAAACAAATATATACATTATATATATGTGTGTGTATATATATATAATTACAGTAGAAAATTAAGCCTGACCATTGCTTGAAGTCTTTGTGGAGGGCATCTGGCACAACTCAATAAAACCCGTGGCCCCCTCAAAGCGTTAACTGAGCATCAAGTGCTGAGTGTGCTGCTGGGCACAATGCCCAGCACAGTGAGAGCTTGGGAACTGCTGCATATTCATGTGTGTGCCTCTTCCTCTTGTTCACTGCTGTTTCTGGCACCCCATGCTGTGCTTACAATATGGTAGGAGCTCAATAAATATTTGATGAATATACAAATGATTAGTTATTTTAGCCTCAGATGAACACTCACAGGTGGTCAGGTGGAGGAGTGAGGGCTGGTGGAGGAGTGAGGCTTTGGCCAGCTGTAGTTGGCCTCAGGAGCAGAGAGACCCGGGGCAGCAGGGGGCCCGCAGCACTCAGGGTAGATGCCTTCAGTTACCAAATCAAACCCTAGACAAATGCTGAGGGAGTGAGTTAAGCCAAGGCACAGAGCAAGGCGTTGTCATAGAAACACATTCAGGCCTTTTACATAGTGTTCTGTGATGGTGTTCATTGGGGGTTCCAGAGCAAATAAAAGGATGAAGTTCATGGTACTTGCCCAAAGAGAGGATACGCTGAGCACTGTGCTTAGCAGAGCACCAGGCAGGAGTGGGGAGGAAGGAAAGGCCTTTGGCTTATTCCCTGACATCTCAGCAGTTGTAAAGGGCTGCTGCGGGCAGCTCCTCTGACCAGGGTTTGCCCCAGGAAAATAGTAGAAGTCAACATGCCCTGGGGAAGTTCTCTCCTGTATCCCCCTGATGACGACTGCAAAGGAGGGAGGGAGGACCCAGACATTCCATTTCTCCTCATTTGTCAGTTCTGGTTGGGACTTCATAAAGTCCAAGGATATTCTTGGAGTGGGAAAAAATGCTGCAGGATTCGTGCGGGGAGCTGACTGATGCTGATATTACAAATCCATGATGTGACTAAAAGTCGTGTGAAAAGATTGATCATCAAGAAGTTGCAGAAGGAAAAGTCTCCAGCCCAGCTAAATGTTCCCATCCCACTTTCTCTGTCTTCAGGTGACCTTGTACAAGGACTCTGACATGGAGGACTTTGGGTTCAGTGTAGCAGATGGCTTGCTGGAGAAAGGAGTGTATGTCAAAAATATTCGCCCAGCTGGGCCAGGAGATCTTGGTGGCTTAAAGCCATATGACAGGCTCTTACAGGTAAGACCTCACGTGGAATTTTAATTCCTTGCAAGTAATTTGTCACTAGGAGTTTCCTCTACATCCTCCTGCATATTTGGGGCCCTTTGCTCTTTTCCCTTTCAGCCTTTGTCATCCAGATTATGGAATCAGTAGAAGCAAACAGCTGAATAAAGAATTTTCAGCACTGGTAAATTCTAACCCAGCCCCCAAAGTTCTGTGGTTTCTTATCAGTTTTTTTCAGCACTGAGCTCAGAGCCATCTTTCCCAGTCTCACGCTCATTTCTCAGACTCCACCCAACCACTGGTCACCTCCCACCATCACACAGTAGTCCCGTAAATTTGACGTAGTTATCCGACTCCAGGCACCCAGTCTAGTCCTTCCTACCACTCGTCTTCTACGTGACCTACAAGGCCTCAGGGATTTGGCCTCTCCTTACCTTGCCAGCATCTTGTCTTACCTCTTCATTCATTCATTCATTCATTCATTCATTCATTCATTTATGAGACAGAGTCTCGCTCTGTCACTGGAGTGGAGTGGCACGATCTCAGTTCACTGCAACCGCCACCTCCCAGGTTCAAGACATCCTCCTGCCTCAGCCTCCCAAGTAGCTGGGATTACAGGTGCCTTCCACCACACCCAGCAAGAATGCAATTTGCTAACTAATTAGAGGGTTGATGACGGACCTTTTGAGGTTGATGGAAAGTTACAATCTTTTTTCCTTTTTTTTTTTTTTGAGACAGAGTCTCACTCTGTCTCTCAGGCTGGAGTGCAGTGGCACGATCTCAGCTCACTGCAACCTGCACCTCCTGCATTCAAGTGATTCTCCTGCCTCAGCCTCCCAAGTAGCTAGGATTACAGGTGCATGCCACCATGCATGGCTAATTTTTGTATTTTTAGTAGAGACCGTGTTTCACCAGGTTGGCCAGGCTGGTCTCGCACTCCTGACCTCAAGTGATCCACCCCCCTCGGCCTCCCAAAGTGCTGGGATTTTAGATGTGAGCCACTGTGCCCAACCTCTTCATTTACTCTCTAGCTTCAGCTGGATTTGTTTCAGGAATGGTGTACGCTGCCACCTCCTGGCCTTTGCACCTGCTGTGCCCTGAGCTTGTGGCACTTCTCTGCTAAACATGCACAGGTTCTTTCCCTGCTCCTTCCTTGACTTCAGGTACCTGCTCACATGCTGCCACTTAAACCTCTCTGTTTAAAAGGGCCCTTCCTGCCTCTCCATTCTTCACAGTGCCTCATTGGTTCGAAGTACAGCCAGAGATGATGCTAGTTATTTGCTTAGTCTGTGTTGCCCACTAGAATGTAACTCCATGAAGGTGGCGATTTTACTCTCCACTCTATTCTCAGTTCCAAGAACAATGCTGTCACATAACAGTGCTCAGTACTATGCAGCAGAATAGAAGCGCATTGGCTCTGAGCCTTATACACGCTTCCCTTTCTCTGAATGCTCTTCTAATCCCTAGGCCTTACCTGCCTCACTCCGACTCAACTTTTTGGTCTCACATAGATCAGCGATTCCCATCCTTGATTGAAAAAATGAAATCACCTAGAGAATGTATCCCAATGTTCAGATCAAATGGCAGACCAATTAAACCAGTGACTTTAGGAGAGAGATACAGCATCGGTGTGTTTTTACACCTCCCCCAGTGATTCCAACGAGCAGCCAAATTGACAATCACTCGTTTAGAGGACTTCCCTTCAAAGCCCAACTTCACCAGACATCACCCAACCTCCTTTACCTCACGTCTGGACTAGGGGTCCCTCCTATACAGAATACCAGCTTTCTCTTTTGGTAGAATTTACATTATTAAAACTGCCTGTTTGGAGGTTGCAGTGAGCTGAGATCACGCCACTGCACTCCAGCCTGGGCGCAGAGTGAGTCTCAAAAAAAACAAAAACAAAAACAAACAAAAACACCTTCCTGTTTCCTTGCATATACTCCCCAGCAGATTGTAAACTTTTTGAGAACAGGATAGTATCTTATTCTCTCATTTACCGTTATATGGTGTTTGATATCTCAGTATCTCTCTCAATATCTGAAACCAAAAAGCTGAACCTTGCTTACTTAATATAGTAACACTGTGGTCAGGTAGAGTTTTATTTAGGAAAGCAGATTTCTGAGCTTATGTGCAGTTTTTGGGAAGGGCATTTTGCAGGAAAATGGAGCAGCTTGAAGTCAGTCTTAGCAGTGTACTCACCTGGAAACAGTCTGTCACCAAACAGCTAACTTTCAAAGCAGGAGGCTGCCACGGATTGGTTAGCTTTCAGAGATGTGTTCACTGAAGCATGTTGTCACTGATCAATTTGATAGTTCTGGAACAATTCTGGTGATGATTTTTACTATGGCAACAGAACAATTAGTCTTATCCTAGGAGTTTGGGGACACTTTGTTTTCCATAGACATGCTAATATTTGCTGAATGAATAACTATGGATAAGTTACTTACCCTCTATATGAGTGTCTTCCTAATCCATAAATTAGAGCTAGGCGTACTCTCATGGAAGCTGAGGCTGTAAAAGTAGACTACATTCAGATTATAAAGGACCTTGAATGTGATGCTAAAGCTCTTGAACTTTATGCTGAAGGCATATTAATTTCTTAAGCAGGATAATGATATAATTGGTAACATAGAAAGGCAAGACAATATTATTGTGGGTGTATCGGGGATGGGTTAGGGAAGGGAAGATCACAGGCAAGGAGACCAGGTAGGGGTAGGTAAGATAAGACACCTGTTTCAGAACTAATGAGTCTTTAATATTTTCAGCACATCGTGATAGAGCAGTCTGGGAAGCATTTGGTGGTTTGGATCTGTTGGTGAGGAGAGATGATAGAGCCAGAGTTAAAGATGTAGGATACTGAATCTTTAGTGGGGTTTAGGACAAGTTGCCCTTGGTGGCTTTATAACAAAGAAGAGAAGAGAACCCAGGATGTATTCTAACAATAACAAAATGTATGTATGTATGTATGTATGTATTTGAGACAGAGATTCTCTCTCGTCACCTAGGCTGGAGTGCAATGGCGTGATCTTGGCTCACTGCAACCTGTGTGCCTTCCAGGTTCAAGCAATTCTCCTTCCTCAGCCAGCTCCCGAGTAGCTGGGATTACAGGCATCCACCACAATGCCTGGCTAATTTTGTATTTTTAGTAGAGATGGAGTTTCACCATTTTGGGCAGGCTGGTCTCAAACTCCTGACCTCAGGGGATCTGCCCGCCTCAGCCTCCCAAAGTACTGGGATTACAGGTGTGAGCCACCGTGCCTGGCCACAATAACCAAATGTAAAGGACAGAAAGAAATAAAGGCAGGAAAGGACTGAAAGCAAGCAGTTAAAATGGTAAAAGGATCAAAACAAAGTGGGGTTGTAGAATCAAGGAAGGAGAGTTTTAAGGGTGAGGAGCTGTCAGGAGTGGCAAATGCTAAACACCAAGGAGGATGTGAACTCCAGAACATTCCTGGATTTGACAAGTGGGGTGATTTGCCAGAATGACCATGTGTCAGGGGGGACCTGAAAAAACTGAGGAGAGAATGGGAGGTCAAGGAGTAGAACCGGCATGTGGGTGATTGTAAAAACTTTTGTTGGTGAAGAAGGAGAAATGGAAGAAGATGGGTGCATGTATAAGCTGAAGAGGGAATAAGCTCATTCTTTTTTTAAAAAAAATTCTTATTCTTACTAGAGACAGGGTCTCACTATGTTGCCCAGGCTGGTCTCAAACTCCTGGCATCAAGCGATCCTCCCATCTTGGTCTCCTCAAGTGCTGTGATGACAGGTGTGAGCCACTGCACCTGGTGGAGCTCACTTGTAAGAGAGGTAGTTCAGCATCGTGATTCAGAGCACAGGCTTTGAGATCAGCCAGTTGGCCTGGGATTACATCCTATGACCCTTACCAACTACTGATCTAAGGCAAAGCTCTTAACCTCTCTGTGTCTTGCTTTTCTCATCTGTAAATTAGGGATAATATTCAACACTTGGAGCACCCCCACTGTGGGTGGGGCCACCTGCTTGGCATGAGGATAGGTAGGATGTGTATGTCTTCCTTGCCCTTGAGAGTCTTACAATTTACTGGTAGACAATGGCAAGGGAGCCAGTAGCCATGTCACAGCATAGTCAGGGCAAGGATAGACCTCATGGTGCTCATTTTAGCACCTTCATGACTTCAAACAACTTGTTGCACCTGAAATGTTCCTCTGGGTTTTGGGAATTATGGTTACAATGACAATTCAAAATGGCTCTTCTTGACCTTTCAGGTGAACCATGTCCGAACCAGAGACTTTGACTGCTGCCTTGTTGTGCCCCTCATAGCAGAATCCGGGAATAAGCTGGACCTGGTTATTAGTAGAAACCCACTGGCTTCACAGAAGTCTGTAGAACAACAGAGTCTACCAGGAGATTGGAGTGAACAGAACAGTGCTTTTTTCCAGCAGCCTAGCCACGGTGGTAATTTGGAGACACGAGAACCCACTAATACATTATAGCAACGCTTTTTATAAAGCAGGACAAAAGACAATATCTACATGGTGCTAAAAATCCCTTTAAGATTTCTGTGACATTTGAAGCACAGATAATCACGTGGCATTAACTGCAAGCACAGGGGTCTTTTAAATCTCTCTCATGGCTCATGTTCACTTCCCTTTTCAAGTTGAAGAGGTTTCTTTTTTGGTGACCACTATGGTACATGGTGGGCAATGCCCTGCCAGGCCCAATGGTAGAGAAAAATAGGCCGTCTCCCCAACTCTACAATTAACATCAGAGGAAATTTTTTACAAGTTCATCTTACTATCACTTTTTAAAAAGAGAAACATCTGTTTGAAAATATTCTCTATGATAATTTCCTTAATTCACTTTGAAATCAGTTTCTTACTATGAAGTTATTAATGTAAGAACTTGACCAACAAGGCTTTTCTTCTCATAGGCTGGCTCTACTAGGGGAACTAGTGTTTGGTAAACTGCTGGGACTGCCACAATGGGAGGGGTACAGGTATAAAATTAAGTTATCTTAAAATGTTTCAGCAATGATGCACGTAGGAGACCATAATAGGTGGTGGTAAATGTTTTGCCCAAGTATAGGAATGATTTTAACTAAGATGTATGCTATTCCCTATGCAACAAATTATCAAACAGGATATGTCTTGTGACCTGTTTTTTTTTTAAGGACACATTTTTAATAGCTGAAAATCTCTGATAATGAATTAGAGGGTGTAGTAAACACGAGAATTAGTTATATTATTTTTAAAATTCAAGACTAAGAACTTAAGAAAGAATGAAGAGTCTATTAAAATGAGGTTCATCTTAATGATAGACAAACCAAACTCATACTGCTTGACATGTTTTGAAAACTGGTAATATTGAGGGTGTACAGCACATGTACTTAAAAATGACACTGGGCTATCTTTTGTTCTGAGCCATGCCACTTACCGAAATTGTAAATACATTTTTCACAAATGCATTGCCAATTATTACCATCCCTCAAAGCAATAAATTGTGACAGTTGCTTTAAATGTTTGTCAGCAACTGTTTTCATTTGTTCAGATATTTTGAATAGCTACGCTAATAACTGTTATTTGGTGAATATAAAAAACTAGATCTGTATATTGATGGTAGACTCTCCATATTGAAATAATTATTTTCCAAACGTTTTCATTTTGGTCAATAATTCAAACTACCACTTAGGCAAAGCATTCAAACACTGTGTCCTTTGTTTAAGGAAATAAAAATCACCTTTCTTTTTGTGCAAAAAAAAATATTATTTCAATCACATTTCAGAACCGCCAGGGCAAGAAAGTATAAAGCAGAATCATGTTAAGAAAAAAGAAAAAAAGATCATGAGTCACTTAAATATGTATTTTTATTTGTAACAAACAAGTATTAAACTGTAAAGTATTTTTGTACAAATTTAATACTTTAATAGCATGGTATTTATCGTCTATGTATGGTTTTGGGGAATTCAAAATTGTTCAAATATTTGTATGGAAAAAATAAAACCCTCTACCAAATGGAATAAACCGTGATTTTAAAAAGCCAAATAAAGAGGACATGCATTATTGGTGTTTTGAATATATTTCAGTGTTTTAGCCTGAGTCCTACACAATTTGTTTTGTTTTGTTTTGAGATGGATTTTCACTCTGTTGCCCAGGCTGGAGTTCAGTGGCACAATCTCAGCTCACTGCAACCCCTGCCTCCTGGGCTCAAGTGATTCTCCTACCTCAGCTTCCCAAGTAGCTGGGATTACAGGTGCCCACCACCACACCTGGCTAGTTTTTGTATTTTTAGTAGACATGGGGTTTCACCACATTGGCCAGGCTGGTCTCAAACTCCTGACCTCAAGTGATCCACCTGCCTTGGCCTCCCAAAGTGTTGGGATTACAGGCGTGAGCCACCGCATCTGGCCACAATGTTTATTTTTGTATAATTTTCTAAAGGTGAAAGGTTTTCCTGTCAACCTGAGAAGCACCACTAAAGAGTAGGAACCTGGGCATTGAAATTGAGTCCAGGTTTCATTTCAGGCTCCAGGCTCTTGTATGACATTTACTCACCATGAATCAGTGTCTCTACCTGAAACTGAAGGTCATATCTGTACCACAGGATCATTCGGAAGATGAGGAGTGAAATATATGAGAATGGGCTAAAAACACACACAGAAATACCTCCAAAACCAATGGTACATTTACTGTAGGTGACAAGTATTGATCAAGTATCACAACATCCACCTCAGAGAAAATTACATGTATTCTATGAGATATATTTACATAAACTGTTAAAATGTACAAACTTTAATTATGCTACCTTTAAAAATTCACATTCATTTTTATACAGTTGCATTCAGTGTGCCCAGGTTACATTCTGAAAGGCAGAGTATTTTCTAGCACGAGAGTCTTAAGACCCAACTGACAATCTATGATTGCAAAAATCTAAGCAACTGTTCAAATTTGTATTGCACTCGCCTCACTTCTGCATCAAGCATGATGCTGAAGCCAATGAAATGTGTAGTTAAAAGAGGCTTTGTAAATAAATGCAAATGAGAAGCTATATTTCATGTGAAAGATATTTCAGTTGTAACCAAAACTAAAATGAATCAATAGAAAATAGCTGTTAAAAACAAAAAAGCTCTCATGATTTCTAGCACTTTTCAAATACAGTGACCAGGCCAAAGGAAGAGCTAGAGTCAGCCAGTAAGTTCTGAGCACCCCGAGTCCTCTTAAAAAGGGCAGTGATAAACTATGAAATGAAAGGGTTTGGGGCTATGCCACCGGAAGACTGGCAGAAGAAACTGGAGATAAGTAGCCAGATGGGGCAGAAGAGACAAGTCTGAAATATATGAGACTCAGGACTTACGAGCAGAGGTTCCAATGAGGTAGATTTCAGCTTAATATAAGGAAGTAATTTCCAACACTAGTGTTGCAAAGTGGTTTTCACCAAGCAGTAAAGACCTTTAGCATTGGAAATGTGTGTTCTACTGGTGACTGATGGGTGTTCAGCAAATAGTAAGCTGGGGTAGATGACCCTTGCAATTTTAACATGCTGGGATGAAACATTATTTGCTTCCAATTTACATTTTAAAAAGGATACTAGAAGTATCCTCTTTCACTCAAACATTTTTTTTTTCATGACCGGTAATGTGCCGGCACCATAACAAGGTTTGAGGGAGGCACATCTCACACGTGTGTGTGAACACCAATGCATCAGGCTTAGGAACTACAAAAGGATCTTAATGAAATCTGAGAGAATTTTGAATCAGGTCAGTTATTTGTATTTTAGCCAATAGTACATTTATAATATAAGAACTACTGCTTTGGAATATTCAGTTACATAGTATTAGTTTCTTTGTGTTTTTATGGAAAAAAGGTATTTTCAAGTTCTTCTTGACAATGTGAAGCTTTACCTGAGTCCTATACCCTGAAATATAGCCAGAGTTAAAGAAATTTTATTTCTATAAGGTTGTAGTAACGCCCCTGCCCATCGCCTGCATGTTCCAGGAACTGGCTTATTATAAAGAACCATCCTTCCCCAGGTGACTTAGATAAGACTCACAGGTGTTCATCTCCCTTCCCCCGTTTACTTATAACAAAATCAGACACAGACTGCCCTGAAAATTACCATTCTTTGCTTCATAAATGATTAGCTGAATTGCTTGTACTCACTGATCTAGAGAAGATACTAAGCTTCCTTCCCCCAGGCTTTTGAACTTTGACCAACCCTCAATTTAGGCCAGTATACAACACCTCCTTAAGAGGCCCTCCTAAAAGTAATAGGATAAGAGTTAAAATTAATGAAATAGGCAGGGCGCGGTGGCTCAAGCCTGTAATCCCAGCACTTTGGGAGGTCGAGACAGGCGGATCACGAGGTCAGGAGATCGAGACCATCCTGGCTAACGCGGTGAAACCCTGTCTCTACTGAAAAAATACAAAAAACTACCGGGCGAAGTGGCGGGCGCCTGTAGTCCCAGCTACTCAAGAGGCTGAGGCAGGAGAATGGCGTAAACCCGGGAGGCGGAGCTTGCAGTGAGCTGAGATCCGGCCACTGCACTCCAGCCTGGGCAAAAAAATAATAATAATAATAATGAAATAGAGAATAGAAAGACAGTAAAGAAAATCAATGAAACCAAAAGTTGGTCCTTTAACAAGATTAAAATTCATAAACTTTTAGTTAACCAAGAGAAAAAGAGACTCAAATGACTAAAATCAGGAATGAAACAGAGGCTTTACTATCAGCCTTACAGAAATTTAAAAAACCATAAAGGAATACTATGATCAACTGTATGTCAGAAAATTAAAAAACATAGATTAAATGAGCAAATTTCTAGAGAAAAACTGTCAAAACTGACTCAAGAAGAAACAGAAAAGCTAAATACACCTATAACAAGTAAAGAGATTCAATCAGTAGCTTTAAAACTTCACATACCAGGCTCAGTGGCTCACGCCTGTAATCCCAGCATTTTGGGAGGCCGAAGCAGCTGGATCACCTGAGGCTGGGATTCGAGACCAGCCTGACCAACACGAAGAAACCCTGTCTCTATTAAAAATACAAAATTAGCTGGGCGTGGTAGTGCATGCATGTAATCCCAGCTACTTGGGAGGCTGAGGCAGAAGAATCGCTTGAACCTGGGAGGTGGAGGTTGTGGTGAGCCGAGATCGTGCCATTGCACTTCAGCCTGGACAACAAGAGCGAAACTCTGTCTCAAAAAACAAAAACAAAACAAAACAAAACAAAAACTTCGCACAAAGAAAAGTCCAGGGCCAGATTAATTTAAAGGAGAGTTAATACCAATTCTTCACAAACTCTTCCAAAATAGGAGACAAGGGGACACTTCACAACTCATTCTATGTGGTCACTATTACTCTGATACCAAAACCAAACAAAGTCATCACAAGAAAAATAAACTGTAGAATAATATCTGTCATGAATTTCGATGCAAAAGTCCCCAACAAAAAACCAGCAAGCCAAATCCAGCAGCACATAAAAGGATTGTACACTATGACCAAGTGAGATTTACTCCAGGGATGCGTGAGAATTACCACACTGCATCAATAAAGGACAAAATTACATGATCGTCTCAATACATAGAGAAAGGACTTGAGGAAATTCAAGTCCCTTCACAACAACCTAGGAATAAAGGAGAATTTCTTCATCTCAATAAAGGACTTAAAAGAAAGATCCACAGCAAACACAGTTAATGGTGGAAAATTTAATGCTTTCTCCCTAATATGATGAACAAGACAAGGATATTCACTCTTGCCACTTCTATTCAACAATGTACTAGGGGCTCTAACCAGGGTATTTAGCAAAAAAATGAAATTAAAGGCCTACAGATTAAAAAGGAAGAACTAAAAGCATCTCTATTTGCAGATGATATGATCTCTTATACAGAAAATCCTAAGGAATCCACTAAAAACCTACTGTAACTAATAGTTCAGCAAGGTTGGAAGATACAAGATCAATATATAAAAACCAATTGCATTTCTATGTAGTAGCCGTAATGAACCAAAATAAATTAAGAAAATAGTTCCATTTACAACAGGAAAAAAAAATTAAATATTTTGAAATAAATTTAACAGAAAGCATTGTAAATTTAATAAAAAAATACAAAACTTATACTCTGAAAACTACAAAGAATTAAAGAAGAACCAAGCATGGTGGCTCACACCTGTAATCCCAGCACTTTGGGAGGTCGAGGTGGGCAGATTGCCTGAGTCCAGTTCAAGACCAGCCTGGGCACCATGGTGAACCCCTATCTCTGCAAAAAATACAAAAATTAGCCAAGTGCAGTGGTGCAAGCCTGTAGTCCCAGCTACAAGAGTGACTGAGGTGGGGTGGTTGAGGAGGTTGGACTGCTTGAGCCTAACAGGTAGAGGCTGCAGTGAGCAATGATTGCACCACTGCACTCCAATCCAGCCTGTCTTTCCCAAGCAAATGGAAAGACATCTGTGTTCATGAATCACAAGACTTAATACTGTTAAAATGGCAATAGTTCCCGAATCTGTAGGTTTAACACACTCCTCAACAAAATTCCAGTTTGCTTCTTTGCAGAAACTGACAAGCAGATCCTAAAATTCCTACGGAAATATCGGGACCCATAACAGCCAAAACAAACTTGAAAAAGAAAACAAAGTTGAAGGACTCACACTTCTTAATTTGAAAACTTTCTACAAAGCTACAGTAATAAAGACAATATGGTGCTGGCATTAGAACAGACACATGGGCCAGGCGCAGTGGCTCCCGCCTGTAATCCCAGCACTTTGGCAGGCCAAGGTAGGTGGATCATCTGAGGTCAGGAGTTTGAGACCAGCCTGGCCAACATGGTGAAACCCCATCTCTACTAAAAATACAAAAAATTAGCCCGGTGTGGTGGAAGGTGCCTGTAATCCCTGCTACTCGGGAGGTTGAGGCATGAGAATTGCTTGAAACCAGGAGGTGGAGGTTGCAATGAGCTGAGATGGCACCATTGCACTCCAGCCTGGGTGACACAGTGAGACTCCATCTCAAAAAAAAAAAAAAAGAAAAGAAAAAGGAAAAAAAAGAAAGAAAAAGAAAAAAGATGCATGAATTGGGTCTGGCATGGTGGCTCATGCCTGTAATCCCAGCACTTTGGGAGGCTGAGGCAAGTGGATCATGAGGTCAGGAGATCGAGACCA